GCTGCTGCTGCTGCTGCTGCTGCTGCTGCTGCTGCTGCTGCTGCTGCTGCTGCTGCTGCTGCTGCTGCTGCTGCTGCTGCTGCTGCTGCTGCTGCTGCTGCTGCTGCTGCTGCTGCTGCTGCTGCTGCTGCTGCTGCTGCTGCTGCTGCTGCTGCTGCTGCTGCTGCTGCTGCTGCTGCTGCTGCTGCTGCTGCTGCTGCTGCTGCTGCTGCTGCTGCTGCTGCTGCTGCTGCTGCTGCTGCTGCTGCTGCTGCTGCTGCTGCTGCTGCTGCTGCTGCTGCTGCTGCTGCTGCTGCTGGTCCTGTCCCTCCTTCGTCCCCTCTGCCTCTTGGGTTACATGGAAGGGATTTAGAGGCAGCAGAGGAACCTTCCGACCAGGAAACCTGATCACCCGCGCACCAAAGAACCCCCCATTACCAGCAGCCTTCCCACCTGCCCCAACTGCTGCCCCTCTCCCAGTAACACCTCCCCCGAAGCCACCAAGAACCCCATCCCTACCACTGGTTAATCCCCCTGGGGTGCCAACCCCCCCTGGCCCGTCAACATGACCAGACCCATCCACACGAGCAGAGCTATCAAGTCGCTCTGAGCCATCAGCAACACCCTGTACACAGTTAGCAAGCCCTCCTGTCCCAGCAGCAGCTCCCCCCCTGCCTGCTCTCTGCAGCCACTGTTGGTACCACTCCCCTCTTGGCCGCTTCACCTCTACCACCCCCTCCTCCTCCTCACCCTCCTGCTTACTTACCCTCTCTCCTCTTGCCTCCTCTCTTGCCGCCCCCTTTTTTGCCTGCTCCTGCTTTTCAGTGCCGATCCCAATCCTTTTCTCCTCTCGCTTACCCCCTTTCCCTCCTGCTCCCCTGCCCCTGCCTCGCTTTCTCCCTCTTATCCCTTTGGTTCCCTTCTTCCTTCCTTCCCCACCACTCTCCTCCTCTTCCTCTTCCTCCTCTTCCTCGTCTTCCTCTTCATCTTCCTCCTCTTCTTCTTCTTCGTCTGAAATAACAACTGCTTTGGCCCTTCCTCTCCCTCCACCCCTACCCCTTCCCCCTCCTCTTCCTACCCCTCTTCCCCCTCCTCTCCCTCCCCTCCCTCTCCCTCCCAATGCTTCTCTCCCTCTCACTGCTGCCCTTCCTCTCCCTCTTCCACTCACTCTCTTTCCCCCATCCACCTCCCTCCCCACACACCCCACCACCACATCCTCTTCCCCTTCTGACAACTCCACTACAACAGCAGCAGCACCAGCAACAACAGCAGCAGCACTGCTGTCCCAGTTATTAGCAGCCTCGTTAGCAGCAGCAGCACGGACTGGCTTCGGCTGGCGTTGCCTGGGGAGAAAGAACGAGTGCATGGGCCGACCAGCAGTGGACTGAGCAAAGAGCTGTTGGGTTGGGGTAATGGGAAAGGTGGAGGTACGGGGTGGTGAAAGGGAGTGGGGAGTGGTAGCAACAGGCAGGGAGTCGCAGAGCAAGGAGACAAAGATAGAACGCATAGGAGATAGATGGAGAATAATGGAACTAAGACCTGCAAGCTGGTGAGTCTGTCTGTGCTGCCTTGTGCCCCCTCTTCATATAGCCACTGCTGAGCTGAAAAGACATCTCATTTGAGCTGTCTTGTGCGCCTCTTCCCGCATCCGTGCCTTCTCCCTCTCCACCATAGCTTCCATGCTCTCCTCTTCCTCTTACTCAAGGCCCACCTGAGCCAACGCTCACACAATCTTCCACCCACCTGAGCTGTCTTGTGCGCCTCTTCTCGCATCCGTGCCTTCTCCCTCTCCACCTTAGCCTCCATGCTCTCCTCTTCCTCTTCTTCCTCGTCCTCTTCTTCTTCCTCCTCCTCTGCCTCCTCTTCCTCTTCTGCTTCCTCTTCCATTACTTGCACATCATCATCCGAGTCCTCCCCTTCCTTTCCCACCTCTTCTTCCTTCCCCACCTCGTCCTCCTTTCCCACCTCCCCATCCTTCCCCTCTGCTTCATCCTTAGCCCCCTCTCCCTGCAATGCCTCTTTCCTTGAATCTTCCTCAACCTCCTGAATATCAACCTCTCGTTTCACCCTTCTTACACACCCTTCATCCCCTGACACCGTCAAATCCACATCCTCACAAGCTTTACCACCCTCTTTTGTATCACCCTTTACCACCTCCGCACAAGTTTTATCACCTTCGTTATTATCATGCTCCGCCAACCCCTCACCAGCATAACCAGCTTCATTTGTATCACACAAGTACACAGGTAGCACCACCGCTCCCCCCCTATCAAACTCACCACCCACGGGCACAAACCGGATCCCTAGCATCATCTGCTGCAGCCGCTTCCCTCCTCTGGAAACAGGCCCTCTGTTCTCACTGTGACGCATTCCTTTCAAACTTTCGCGTGTGGCCTTTTGAGTCGCTGTAGCCTTCTGAGTCGTTGCAGCAGTGGGGTGCCCTTCAGCAGCAGGCTTTCCGCGTGTCCTTGGCCGTTCCTGCAAGGCATTTGGCTGGAAAAGACACCTCTGCTTCAGCCTCCGACCTGGAATGAAGTCATTTCAAGGGGAGGGGAACACGTTGAGGGGATGGGGTTTAGAGTCCCATCACCTAGCAGGCTTTCTTTTGAGGCGCCTCAAAAGACATCACCTAGCAGGCTTTCTGTGCATGCTTGACTAGGGATGCTGAAGACAGCAGGAGCAGGGATGGTGGATGCTGAAGACAGCAGGAGCAGGGATGGTGGATGCTGAAGACAGCAGGAGCAGGGATGGTGGATGCTGAAGACAGCAGGAGCAGGGATGGTGGATGCTGAAGACAGCAGGAGCAGGGATGGTGGATGCTGAAGACAGCAGGAGCAGGGATGGTGGATGCTGAAGACAGCAGGAGCAGGGATGGTGGATGCTGAAGACAGCAGGAGCAGGGATGGTGGATGCTGAAGACAGCAGGAGCAGGGATGGTGGATGCTGAAGACAGCAGGAGCAGGGATGGTGGATGCTGAAGACAGCAGGAGCAGGGATGGTGAAACCCGACCAAAAACGATACCGAACCAGAAAAGATACCCTAAATATCGGACAGTTTCTATGGGCCAGTCTTAGCACTGACGACTGGGACTTACCATAACGGGACGTCCCCACCCCGCCAAGCGCCTCTGCTACAGCAGGATGCTGAGATTCCACCAGCGGAGCGAGCTGTGCCGGGTGAACCAGGGCTGGTTGAGCTGCTTCAACCGGAGCAGCCTGAACTGGCCCACCAGAAACTGCTGCCGCTTCGCGAAGCGCCTCTGCTGCAGCAGGCGGTTGAGGTTCCACTGGGCCTGGTGAAGCGAGCTGTGCCTGGTCTACTGAGGGTGGCTGTGCTACTGCTTCCTCCACTGGAGCAGCCTGAACCGGCCCACACCCACCAGAAACCGCAGCTGCTTTGCCAAGCGTCTCTGTTGCAGCAGTCGGTTGAGTTTCCACTGGTGAAGCGAGCTGTGCCTGGTGTGATAGGGCCGGCTGTGCTGCTGGTCCGGGTGTAGTGACACCAGCAGCAGCACCAGCAACTGTGACGGCGGGAGAAACTTCACCGGAAGCCGCATCAGCAGTAGGCGTGACAGTAACAGGAGCCTCACTTGCAGCTAAAGCAGTCGGTGCATCATGCTGCGGCATATCAGCAGCAGCATAAACAGCAGCAGTAGCAGTTTCACTTCCAATGGTAGCAGCAGCTTCGGCAGCCCCAAAAGTCTGCTCTGCAGCATCCCCATTCTCATCGTCCCCTTTGCCGCACGGCCTAGTTTCAGCCCCGACCACGTCGACTGTCCCTTCCCTGCTGAAATCAACCACTCGCTCCTCCTTCTCCTTCACCGTCCCCTTTTTCTCATTCCCTTTCACCTCTTCGCGCTCCTTTTGTTGCACCTGTTGCCGAGTGTCTTCCCCATCCTCCTCCATCGCACTCAACTCCTCCATAACGCTCACACGCTTCCTCCCAACACCAACGCCTACGGGCGAGCCCACAGAGGACATGGACGCGACGACGGGTGTCGAATGAGCGGGTGACACGTCAGCTGCAGGGGCGGGTGACACGTCAGCTGGAGGGGCGACTGACATATCAGCTGCAAGAGCGGGTGACACGTCAGCTACAGGGGTGGCTGACATGTCAGCGGCTGACACGTCACCAGCCACTGCAGGATACGCCTCTGCTACCGTGGTACCCTCGACCGCCTCCATCTGTTTCCCTCCTTTCTTGGGTCGACCCCGCTTACGTTTCACCTCACCCACCCGCTGCTGCTGCTGCATCTGCTCTTCTTGCTGCTGCTGCTGCTGCTGTTTCTTCTCTGCTTGTTTGCGCTTTCTCCTTTCCAGCGCGGGCAGGAAAAAGTCTGCATCAGGTGATGCGTAAGCGCAAGGGGAACAAAGAAAAAGAAAAACTGAGCCTTCAAACCCGTTAGGCCACCGACTCACAAATCATCAATGAAACTGCAAGAGACGGAAGACCCTACTTTGAATGATCGCAGTTTCGTATTTGTGCAGCAGTTCTGGTGTCTGTCTGCTACTCATGTCATACCATGTCTTGGTGCTGATGGTGTTGCCGTAATGGGCGCTCTCTCCTCAGCCGCTGCCACCTGCTTGCCTCCATCAGCCTCCGCCGGAGCAACCTCCACTGGAACTGCCTTATCTGCAGAGGTTTCAGCAGCCATGCCAGTAACCGCTGGTTCGCCGGCGGCTGTTGCTGCTGCTGCAATGGTTGCTCCCTGCTCGGCTGCTGCCACCTCCTTGCTTCCGCTTCCACTAACCTCCGCTGGAGCGACCTCCACTGGCACTGCCTTTTCCGCAGCACTTACGCCCGCCAGGTCAGTATGCTTTGGTTCGCCAACGACTGATGCTGCTGCCCCAATGGTTTCTCCCTCCTCAGCTGCTGCCACCTCCTTGCTGCCACTTCCACCAACCTCTACCGTTACGACTGCAACAGGAACTGCCTTGTCAGGAACCACTGGTTTAGCAGCGGCTGATGCTGCTACAGCTGTATCAGCTTCTACAAGCTCCAAAGGCGTCGCTGGATTCATGGCGGCTGTTACAAACGCATCTGGCGATGTAACGCGTACATGATCGCCAGTTACCGGAGCAACTGCGTCTGCAGTACCTGGGGAAGCATCAGTGGCTGCAGGTTTGATCTGAGCAGAGTGAGTGGGAGCAGTGCTATTAGTATTAGCAGTCTGGGACTTCGCACGAGAAAACATTTTCTTAAGGGTAGTTTCGCGCAGCCGCGTGGAGCGCACAGGGCGCTGCTTCCCCGCACCGCTCATCGCGGGTAAGGTGGAATGCTTCGCGCGGATGAGTCGGCTTGTTGCAATGACAGGAGTATAATGAGTCCTGTTGTTGCAATGACAGGCAGAAAATGAATCAGCTAGTTAAAGTGACCTGCCCGCGGAGGAGCGAATGCCCTGGCGAAGTGGACACGCCACTGGGAGCCGAACCGAGTTAACGAAACACGACGAGCTATAATCGAAGCATTATACAGGTGCACGCGCATGCGCAAAGCTAGCTGATGGTAAGATACTTCTTGGAGACACGAGAACTCCATCTGACTTCATCGAATCACCTTCGAGTGCACACAAGCATAGCTCGTGCATCAGGAAGCTCAAGGGATTGTTATGTCACTGGATGACAACGCTGCATAGACCAAACTTCCAGGATTGAGGTGAACAAACCAGCTAATGTCAGGTGTTCGTGGCGGGTTGTGGTTGAACGGGACGGGAGACGCCAGGGAATGGTGTCAGCAACAGAAGACTGTATCGACGCGATCCCTGGTGGTGAAGAGAGGTGCGTGTCGGTATTTTAACATCGTCAGCGTCCAACATGCTTCAGCTCGAAATTCAAACTTTTGAATTTTCCATGTGGTGATTTGTTCGTAACACCACAAAATCGCAAAAATATTTTCGCATAGAGCTTGTACTCGCTGTGCGGTGCTGCGATGTGGGATTTCGTCGGCAACACAACTCCACGACCACCACCATCCAGTCGGGGTTTTTGTTCGTCCACTGTGGTTCCTCACGGTAGAACTGCACACAGACGTAACTAATTTTGACCGTACCAAACCGTGGTAGGTGAACTCGAATTTCCAACTTTGCCAGATCTCCACCTCACCTATCAGGAGGGCAGCAGGACACACCATATGTGAGATGTTTCGTCAGCGTCACGCTGAACCCGAGCTTGATCAGGCAATGGATGATTCATTTCTTTGACCTAGGAAACAACGGTGTCAGAGAATCAGCTAACGATTCTACGGCCTACAGTCCTTCGTTCACGCTTGAAGTCGGTGTTTCCGACATTGTTGCCTGACACATTTCGCGAGCCATGTCGGCGAGCTCACAGAAAGATCTAGGCGAGGACGAGACGGACGCCGTCTGTGACCCTGATGACGAGCAGATCTTCGAGTTTATTCAGCGGCTTCCTGGCGAGGCAAGCGCTGATGTCTATTGTTCCTGTTGTCGTCATTTCTCTTTTCAATCCGTGCATTGTAAGAACGCTTATCTTGGCGTATGTGTTAGGTCAGGCCATATCGGGGAGAGAAGAGCTCCTTAAAGCAATCCTCGCGTCGGTTAGCAGCAACAAGCGACCATCATCGCGTACTCAAGTTCTTCAAGGATTGCTGGTCCGTGCAAAGCTACATTCAAGTCTTTTTTTCATTTAACGGTTGTCCATCTGCGACCTACTTAGTCTGATTATTGCTTTTAACAGGATTGTTGGCAATCACCTTCGGGTATTGAGGAGGGTGCAAATGAAACGGCGAAATTGTACGCGGATTTGATATGGAGGACTCTGTGTCTTCAGACGGCTTATCATGCTGCAGCCATGGAAAAACCTTCTGTTGATTTCATGCTCTGCTTCTGGCAACTAACCACCGAGGTCCGTAATGGTTTTTTGTCGTAACCAACGTTCTTCAGCAACAACTTACTGATGCATTCTGTTGTTTCAGGCTTGCAGGCATGTATCGTCTATCCTGGATGATCACTTTGATGGATTGGCTTCGAATCTTTTGAGCATTCAACACCTTACCGAACAGGTATTTTTTTGCTTGTTTGACCGTATGTCATACTTCGCTTGATTAATCTACGATGACACTAACATTGATCAATCTTCGTTTTCAGGCAATGAAGCTCATTGCCTTGTCTGCAGGAGCTCTTCTGAGTTTAATGGAATCTCAGCCTCTACTGCCTGTGAAAGAAATTGGCCAACTGATACAAGAATCATTCAAAATGATGTCTTCATCGTTTTTCTCCTCAAAGGTAGTCCCGTGGCTCTCAGTGATGCTGTATACTCCAATAAATAAATAACGTTCTTTAAATGTTATGTCGTGTGTCTGCTTTTTCAGGCTTTCCCATCTCAGTGGCAGGAAGATTTCAAAAAACCCTTGATTGATGTGCTTGGCGCCTTTCACAACGTCAGTTCGTCTGCATTGAAACAGTTGGAGTCAGTTTCTCAGAGGATCAACAGCCGCTGGAATTCAGAGTCACCCAATGAAACTGATGAGGATACTGACATGGACCATCACAGCAAGGCGGTCATTGAAGACTTTAACCGCCTCGTGGCTCTTCTTTTTCGAAGCTTCGAAGCAGTTGGAACCGTTACAGCACGTATGGGCTCTCATTATGCGACTATCAACCTGGCCTGGAAGACAGTTGTATCTATTCTTGCAACTATGGCCCGGATTTTCCCTTCTCCACCGCCACGTTCGTTGCAGCAGCAGGCCCCTAAACATGAGAGTAACTACGACAGCGGACCTGGTGAAATAGATGAAGTGGATTTGCCACCATGGAGCCGTGAAGATGTTGTGCATGCAATCAGCATGCTGTTCCAGCATACGGCACGCGGTCTTGTCCTGGGAGCAGAGGCTGGAAGGCAGATGCTGGTCGAGCTCAATGCCAGGCTTGGGAAGCATCCACTTCGTGAAGAGGTCTGTGTTGGGGAGGTTGACAACAGGACAGACGGAGATGAGGCGTACAGAGTTGAGGTAGAGAAGCTTAGTAAGAACCTTCAGCGAGTTTTTATGCTGACGAAGTTCTTCCAGAATAACGCCATTCGTGTGGCACTTCTTTACCCAGCAGAGGCATGTGATCCAGCCGCTTCAGAAGACATGGCCGGCCTGCTGTTCGCCTATGCGGGTCTCCTTCATTACAGTGATGGAGATGGAAGATGTGCAGGAGGCAGTGTACAGAAGGGGAGCGGTTTGAAGTGGCCAGTTCCGTTTGCGGTTGCAGAAGCTATGGCGCAGATGCTGGGTCCTACAATGTTTGGGCTTGTTCACAACATTCTGAGTTCGGAAAAAGTTTCAGAGAGTACCAAGTCGATCCTTATCCTCCAGATTCTCGCAGCAGCTGGATCCAGAGAACCACCACAGACCAATATGATTTGGAGGGTGGTTTCATCTGCAGGCGTCAATGCCGAGGGTTCAACGAAGGGTGAGAGCTGTTATCAATCAGCACGAAACAATCTGATTGGTCTGGAGCAGCACAGCCCAGAAATGGCTGAGTGGCAGTCGTGTGGGAGGCTGGTGACTGCCACCACAGTCCTGGAAGGGGCTACTTCATACAGTGACCAAGTGCTGAGTGTGGTGACCAATAACCTGGGTCATTTAGTCAGTCTGGCTGCAGACCAGCATTCCTACGTCCCACTGCTCTCTCGAGTCATCTGGCCATTTCAAAACCAGCGGAGGGAGGGAATTGACAAGGGGGGGGCAGCGGCAGCAGGAAGGACAACGAGGCGGGTGGTCCTGTTTTCACAACTAACCCGTGGACTCAAGGTCCTTGTGGCTGTCATTGGTACCAGAGTTACCAGTTCGTGTGATCCCGCTTCCAGGGATGTGGAACAAAAGATTTTGGGGTCTTTGGCACTTTGGGAGGAGCTTGAAGCCTTTCTTTTTCAAAATGCAGTGCACCAGCATCCCATCTGTGCAGATCTTGCACGGGACACGTGGTGCTTCCTCATTCGACGTTCAGACTCTCAGCTTGCGAGAAGGCACGCAGAGCTGTTACTTCGGTCTGTTCAGGCCTCTGTGCAAACCGTCGTGAAGAATGAATCCAGGCCTCATGCCAAAGGTTTGAGTGGAAGCAGTGCTACAGGACTGCTGGGCATTGTGACTGGGCTGGAGGAACAACTAGTCTGTGCAACGGTCGATGTCCTCATGGCATGCCCTGATACGACTGTATCTGATGTCTTCCTCAAGCCGTTTGTCCGGCACATCAACTCATCATTTTCAAAGTTTTCGGCTTCAGCAGGAACTGCCAGTGCAGTTTCACAACACAGCCGCACTGCAACTTCTTTCCCTCCCAAGTCTATCAGCCAGGAAATCGCTTATGTTCTAGCTTTCTCTCAACTTTTGGACCGTGGAATGGCAGCAGGGATTCACAGACGCCAGCCAGCTGCTCTCCTCCCAGTTGCGCGTGCATGCTTTGGTGCGGCACGTGCTGCAACGGCTAATATCATGGCAAATGCATCCCAGGGCGTTTCATGGGAGAAGGTGGCTTTGCTTGGAAGCATGCTGACGAGCATCACGGCTGTGCTCCGTGAGAGGTATTTATTATCAGCTATGAATGAAATTCTGTCCTTTTCTTCGCATGTTCACCATTTCCTCTTGTCCATGTTACTTGTTTATCACATGCTCCTTCATCATTGTACTTATGAATCCTTCACTTGATTTCAGGGTTGAATCTTCCATGAGTGGCACCACTGGGCTTCCTGCTGTCTTCCCGAACACGAAGGACCTGGTCAAGTTGGCTGCAGATGCCGCAACTCTGCATGTTCCAACTGATATGGTCAATGGCAGGCATGGTCAACTCACTGGCTCTGGAAGCAATCAGAACAGGGTCCCCTACTCAGATACCCCCATGATTGATTTGGACTGTGGTACCAAGGGGAAGCTGAACGGTGGAACACAGCAGCCATTGCTTGCAAGGGCTGCCCAGTTACTTGCTGCCGTGAGCAGAGCCTCAGATGGAATCAGTGTGACTGATGTGGAACCAGTCCTCCATGCCATGTTGCATGTGCTTCAACGAGTACATCCTCA